CTTTTTTTTTTTTTTTTTTACAAAAAAACCCAAAGACAATAGGAGGCAGGATTAGGGAGGGAGTAAATATGCTTTCTCTTCTATGATAAAAGTATCCAGGAAGACCACTTGTAACAACACTGGTGATGCAACAGTTTGGATAAAAAACTGAAATTCAGCAAGATGAGAAGAAGTCTTGAGGGAAATCTGGTGAAAACAGGTTTGCATTTACATCGCGCAGCACCTGCAAATCCTAGGTAGTCCATACATTCTGTTCTGTTCATGATTTTTGGCCTTTATTAATCTTGTGACCACAAAAAGAGCATCAGTTTGTTTGTGTGGGCGAAGTGCATGTAAAATGCAGCCATTGCTATGATGGGTTGGGGAATTCTGACTTGATTTAAAAAGTGACATTTCTTTACCAGACATGTCTAATATGTTGCCATTACTGCAGAGTCACCGCAGCGATGGGAATCTTCCACAGTGATAGCACAGACACCAAGTCGAGCTAAATGACTGGCTTCCACTGAAAGTCAATTATTATCTGGCCCCTAACTCCCATTTGCGTCTTTGAAAATCTCTCCCACTTCAACAGAAAGCACTATTTAAACATGAGATGGACCCAAATCTCCCATGATAACTTCTACCACAGCTGACCCAGAACTAGGGATCAGATTTGAGCTCAGACCCAGGAATACAATTTTGGAGGGAGGAAGAACGGACTATCCCAGGCAGATCTTGCAGTGGTTTCAATCCCTATACAGCACTGCCATACTGCGGTGCTAAATGATACGTGTAAATGCTACTAGGGAGAGGTTTGGATGCATCGGAGGTTATGACTTGTGTCACCTCCTCAGTTGCACACTTCTCAGTCCATCGGTTGGTTTAAAAGGGATGACACAGACCCAGTAAGAAGAGGACAGATAGCATATCAGAAAAGTCTGCTGCTGTGTTTGTCCCCTGTAGGAGATTCGCACAGCTCTGCCGTTTTTCTGTCATCTACAGAACCTGTGGCTTCATGATGAATGCGTGTGCAAACTGCTCACCTAAGCATATCCCACTGCCACTGTGGATTTTGGAGAAGTCGCAGTAGAGTCCTTTGTGATGATCACAGGGTTTCTGAAGGGAACACAGCTCACCAAGCTGCCTGGCACACACCTTGCAGCAACCGCAGGCATCCAACACATGGCTGGTACCAGCAGGGCACTGCAGTGGCTGGGAGGGGCACTGGCATGGGTAGGAACATGTCTGTGATTCTACCTGGAAGGCAAATGAATCAGAAAAAGTACAAGTTATTTTTAGAAACCATCCAGCTGGAAAAATTAACAGTAAAGAATGTGTGTGGATCCCTTCTACCCCTTGCCATCCCCATGGCTGGAGAGTTAATCTACCAGTCCCTCGCCTGAAGATGGACTGCCATGGAGGACTTTGTGTGGAGTTTCAGCTGACACCAGATGAGCAATTTCCTTCTTTCCCCAAACCCCACTGGAGTTCAGGGGAGGAGAACAGGACAAATGACTTCTTGGCCCCCCCATTCTGGGGCTCAGTTCACTTCTCTCTGGAGGTAAGAAAATGAACAAACCAGCAGTGCCTACCTCCTACATAGCACTCTATATCTGTAGATGAAAGTGCTTGACAAAAGGCAGGCTCATGACTCCTTCCTTTACAGATAGGAGAATTGCAGCAGAGAGGGGAAGTGACTTGCCCAGGGTCACTAAGGAGGCCAGTGGCAGAGCTAGGAATAGACCTGAGGTTTCTCAAGCCCAAGTGTAGGCCTCCATCTGCACTGCAGACTAGGCAACAAGATGCAAACCCCACCTAGATGTAGCACCTTCCTAAGGACCATACAAACTTAAGGTCAACCCAGTGCAAAGGGAGGTCTGAGATGCCTGTTCCTCCACAGTCCACCCGCGGGTTTGCAGGCTTCTTGGGCCAGGAGGACAGGCACACATGCTGCAAAACTTAGGTCGCTGCCAGCAATGTTGGTGATGGCCTGGCTAGCACCCTTGCCCCCAAGTGAGCCAACACTTCATCTGCTGGATGCACTACAGTTTGGATGACATGTGAAACTGGGGCCATTATAGATGCTAAATTTGTTAGCACCCACTCAGGCGACTACATTCTGCTACTGACACTTGCACGGTCCTCGCAACGAATATGGATCTTTCTCCATCCTACTGCTTCTCTGCTTCGCATTCTTCAGCACCTCCGAAGTGGCTGCCATTGCAGCAAACTGACCCTTGCCTGTAGTCTGTTTGTCAGTGTGAGCTCAACAACTGTTTCGAGATCCCATACCAATGTAAAGTAACAAAGCAATCAAGTTCATATGCTGGACCCACTTCTGCACTTGCTACAGCAGACCCAGCTTCTGCTGTGAAGCAACCGCCCTGAGTATTGTTTTGTCACCAACAACACTAGTACAACTCTTCCAGCTGTCAATCTGAGTGTTGCTCCCAACAACGGTTCTAAATTTAACTTGCATGGGGGCAGGAGTTGCCAAATGTTTGGTTTTTTTTAATTTTATTGTTAATTTCTGCAACAATCAGCACAGGCCAGCACAGGCCAGCAATCAGCCTGAAGCTTAACCTGCAAGACCTCCCAAGGTCTCACCCTCTTCAAACAGAATCAGTGTAATTCTCTAGTGCAGAGTATTGTGTAATATAACCTCTACAGCCTGTAGCACAGACATCTGCAAGCTGCAGTCTTTTTTGGGACCACTTGCTGTGAGCTGGCATGTCAAATGGATCTCTTTCCAACTGCTAAATTGCATTAAGAGAAGATAAAAGTACACTACACTTTCCCCTATTCTTTTTCATGTATGCAACTGCTCCCAGTGACAAAGGGACATGCTATTTAACCAGTAATGGGTGGGTACCTGAGATCAGAAACAGGGTAGTGTTTTCCTGATACAGTATCTTTGATACCTGGTATCTGATACCTGGTGCCAAAAATAAAGACCCAGATGCCAGAAAAGTCTTGAGTGTTTCTAGCTCAGCCATGGAGCTGTTCTCTGCCCTGATGCCACTTGCATCACCTCTGTGTCTCACTTGCCCCATTTGGAAAATGTGAATAAAAGGGTGCTCAGTTCATCTCTGTAAAGCATGTGAATCACCTTAATGAGAAGCTCCTGCAAAAACAAAGTGGGACAATTGCAACAAGCCGTGCTGCAGACCTGCATGCAGAAGGAGCCTAGCAATCCAACCTGAGAACTGACATTTCATCTTCCTCCCCGTTTGAGGACTCTCCTCCTGAAGTTCATTCTCATTTCATCTTTAGAGGAACGGGGTCCCCTCATCTTCATTACAGGCCTAATCCTGCTTCTGTTGAAGTCACTGACAAATTTCTAAGGACTTCACGGGCAACAAAACTGAGCCAATATTATGGATCAGAATAAGAAAGATGACTCCCCATGCTTTTAGTTCTGCTAGCAGCTTATGCATAGCTCACAAACATCACTCGTAAAGCTGTCACTCCTGGGAGCTGCGAGCACTGACTAAGCTGCAGTCAAAAATCTACCTGGAAGACTCACAGCTCTGTATGTATTCTCCATCCCTGACTCCCAGGTCCCATCTGCTTAGTTTACAAGTCAAAACAAGATTTTCTTAACTGCTACCACCACAGGCTGCACCTGGCTACCTGGAGAAAGAGATATGAGTAATGTTCTTTCTGCTCCATGTACCCCTTGCTAGCAGTAAAGGCACAGGGAGGGCATGCACAAGGAGATAACAGCTCCATATCTGCAGCTGCATTGGCTCTGTGGCATGCTCAGTGGGGAGGTACTCAACTAAGATCTCGCCCATGGGAAGCAGCAAACAGGTGCAAGGATTCTTTAGAAAAATACTGCTCTTTGGACCATGATCACATCTGAAAAAGCTGGGGGAAAGAACTGTAAGCCTCAGTGAAAGGTCTGCTGGAAGCTGGTGCAGTAACATATGGTCCTTGCTCCTATAGTCTCACACAAATTATACGGATACAGCAGGCAAACTGTGATCATCCAAATGCTGAATTGCAGTGGATAATACCCATGTTGTCCTTCATCACACCTCTCCGAGGCACCCTATAGACACTGATACACCTTATAACAGCCTTGTGTGATACGTGAGAATCACTATTTCCATTTGACAGATAGGGGGACTCAGGCACAGACAAACTAGTTTGCCCAAGCTCATAGGTGTCAGTGGCAAAGCTGAGAACAAACCATAGGAATCCTGTTTTGCTTTAACCACTAAACAACCTGCCTCTTCCTGATGTAGGAGTCATGGCTCCTGCTCCCCAGCACTAACAACTAGATCCCTGCTCCTCTCCTAGAGATGAGAACGTGGTTGAAGTTGGAGCCCCGCCGTCAAAGCATTCAGCAGCTGTTTGGGAATATGCCCTAATTTGGGATAAACATCTATAAAAGTGTTTCCATGATCCGGTGAATTATAATGATCTATAGTGTGTACTTCAGGAGTGCCTGTGCAGGGTGCTGCACAAACAAAGCACAAAACAAAAAAAGAGAGATTCCCCCAAGAATAAAAACTGCCCAGCCCTGGACACCAGTGAGCTCTTTACTCAGTGAAAGGAGACACATTTTCTCTGTTGGCGTATTCTGGGTGGTGCCAGCAACAAATATAGTTCATCCGCCTAAAGCATTTTGCATACATCAGCTCAACAAGCCATAACATTCAAAGCTGCCGGAGGCATGGGCCTTGCATCTTAATTGCTTCACAAGGTGCTTTGCATGCTTTTAGGCCATATGCTAACAAAATCATCATAATGCTATTGCTATTATTGTAAGTGTGGTAGCACCTAAAAGTTTGGCTCAGAATCAGCATGCTACTGTTCTAGGTCTTGTATTAACACATAGGTAGGCAAGCCCCAAACAGCAAGAAAACCAATTTCTTCTTTAGAATCGCTGTTTCAAAGAGTAAGAAGCTGTCTTATGATTCAAGGTACAGGACAAAAATAAAGGGGTGTTCTTCCTGAGCAACGCTACATACTTGGTAGGTAATGCAGTGGGACAAGCTGTTTTACCTCTCAGCCCCCCCAA